CTTGGGGCTGTGCCCACTGCCCTGGGGAGCTGTTCAGTGCCCAAACACCTCTGGGGAAAGAACCATTTTCTAATGTCCAGCCTAAATCTCCCCTGATGCAACTTCAGATCATTCCCTTGGGTCTAAACTTTTCTTTTTTTTTTAAGCCTTTTACATTTTGCTACACTTATGGGACACCCTAAAAACTTTTTAGAATCAAAATCTGCAAGTAAACAGGAAAACACAGGAACACACTCAACTGACAGCAAGAAGACATTAGACCTGAGAAACTTTGCTTTATATGAAATAAATCCCCAAACTCAGTGGGTTTTTTGATTTTGATAGCAGCTGCTCTACAGCTCTTGCACCTAATAGTGTTTCAAAAGAATTAGCAGCTAACCAGGCACTGTAACGGGTCAACACAGCTCATGGGTGAGGCAGGAAGACAAGAGCATTACCCTACAAATGATGAAATCCTGGTTCTGGGGTCAACATTGAAGTCTCCTGGACAAGTGTCATCCTCACTGCATCTTTCAGCTCAGATGTTGGGAATTTGTGTAGCAACAGTGAGCTTGGACTCTATAGATAAGTGATTCAACATTAAGATGAGATTGGTTGTGACACAGTGCCATGGTCTAGTAACCACAGCAGGGTTGGACTTGATGGATCTTGGAGGTCTTTTCCAACCTGGTTGATTCTATGATTCTATGATCAGCAGTACAAGAGAGCTGGAGAGGGACTTTTTATAAGGGCATGTCGTGACAGGACAAGGGGGAATGGCTTTAAACTGAAAGACAAGACAGTTAGTTTGAATACTAGGAAAAAATTCTTGCCTGTGAGGGTGGTAAGGCACCGGCACAGGTTGCCTAGAGAAGCTGTGGATGCCCCAACCCTGGCAGTCTTCACGGCCAGGTTGGATAAAGCTTTGAGCAACCTGCTCTGGTGGAAGGTGTCCCTGCCCAGGGCAGGGGTTGGCACTAGGTGATCTATCAGGTCCATTCCGTTAGTTTGAATACTAGGAAAAAATTCTTGCCTGTGAGGGTGGTAAGGCACCGGCACAGGTTGCCTAGAGAAGCTGTGGATGCCCCAACCCTGGCAGTCTTCACGGCCAGGTTGGATAAAGCTTTGAGCAACCTGCTCTGGTGGAAGGTGTCCCTGCCCAGGGCAGGGGTTGGCACTAGGTGATCTATCAGGTCCATTCCAACCCCTTAACATTCTATGATTATATGAGCAAAGTTCTGTGAGACAAAGATTAAGCTCATTGCTTTTGAAGCAAATTTATGTGATTTGAGTGAAAAATGTTTGTTACCTTAATTAAGGACAGAAAAGAATAACACTGGGAGAGAAAGGGTTCTGTACCTCGATGCTCCTTTACTTCAGAGCCCATGTGCCACAGACAGCATTCAATTAAATAATAGTCTCAGCAATAAACAATGACAATACACAGAACACTACACAACATCACTCCTTTGGCTCAAAGTAATTCCAGTTTGTGACTGAACAGTTGTTATGCAAAATCTCCAACATGTGGCTGAAAACAATAACCTCTACATCCTACAGCTGAGAAGGCAGGTAACAAATCAGCAAAGGAAATTTAGATTGCACATCCCTTATGTAGTTTTATTTCTTGTGCAGTTTAAAACAGCATCAGTACAACTTTGGTATTCACCTGAAAAAGGCTTTGTCAGGAGAGCAGCTGGCAGTCACTGCTTGTCCAAGGTAAGCTCTGTCTGAGAAGGCAGCAGTCCAACGTCTCCAAACAAAATCATTTGAAACAAGAGCAAACAAAATAATCTGTTTTGAAACTTCTCATGGTGCAGCACACCCAAGGTACAGTTGTGTTCTCATAGGGATGTTAATAACAGTTGTAACAGTAAAGTCAGGCTGAGAGGTGATGAGGTACCATAGCAAGGGTTGCAAGGGAAGTCACAATCCTGTCTCAAAGGAGTGCTCTGGGAAGATTAGCTTTTAGAGAACTTTCTGTTGCCTGGCCTAGCCACAGCCTTTCCAGGGGTATATTTTTTATTTCCTGAAGTAGAATATGATTTAAGATAATTTTTACAGTAAGAACATCATCCACTAGAACAACCTCCCAGGGATGTGGTAGAGTCCCTGTCACTGGATGTTGTTTTAAAGATGCAATAGGACAGAGTGTGAGATAATGATGATTCTATGGTTCTACAGTCTCATCTAAACT